GTTTTTTTTTTTTTTGGTTTGGTTGGGGGGGGGGGGGGGGGAGTTGCCCTAGTTTCTGAAACTCTACCTCTCCAAACACTTTTACCTTACCTATTACAATTAAGCTATTGTTTTGCTTAGGAAAGTGGCCTGACTTAATTCAGGTTTCTGTCCCAGAGTAAACCGAAATGATTAATAACTCTGTGTGTGCCTAACGATGTGAGCCCTGCAGCCACCAAAGCACCTGTCTCAGCAAACCCTGGCTGGTTACACACTATTGTGCATGGCTGAAGATTCACAAAACAAAAAAAGGCAATTAGACAATGTTAGGGATTTGAAGCAAACTAACAATACAGGGAAATTGCCAGGGAAGGATTAGTTATCTCTTGCCTGATAAAAGCAGGTATCAATGGAAAACTCCTAAACTGGTCTTCCACAGTGGCTCCATATGGAAAGTTTAATGTCTAGTGAAGACTGCGAGGGTTAAGCTCTGAAAACAAAGATCTGGAAGTTGAAAGTGTGCTTAAATTAGCATTTCTGCTACCCTTTCAGATCACTCCTCAATCTGCTGCTAGTTTTGTCTGTGCCTTTAATGACAACCTGTTGCACCCAAGCAGAAAATTCTGTCATTTTAGCATCACGCTTTTGGATTGAAAATTACTCCAAAAGGATGATCTGCAGCATTTGGGTGTTGAAAGAGCTGCATTAATAGTATTGTCTTATTGTGGGTCTTAGAAGGTATACATGCTCTTTCTTGGGTCTGTTCTGTAAGACACTGAGCATACCTCCTAATCTGTGCTGGTCTTTCTGGCCAGACAGCTTCTCTGTGCGTGCAGTAATTGGTTTTGAAGTTTGCTCCATCAGCTGCTTCGCAGTGCAGCTTTCCACATTGGTTGGTTATTTTGATCAGTCGTGAGAGCAATGGGCTGGCTGGCTGATTGCTGAGGTGTTCCTCCTGGCTGGGTGACAGGCTTGCCGGCTGACCTTGGCCAACTGGCTTTAACTCCGGTGGGGGATAGCGGCTCATATTTTCCAAGGCATCTAGGTGATTTAGGAGCCCACGGCTCACCCTGAAGGGGGTTGATGCATTTGGAAAATGTTACCCTATTAAACTCACCCCAAAGGGATATAGTGTGGGCTAATTTATGTTTGTAAAACAGCTTGGGGTCTTGGATTCCTGTGACGTGAGTATCTTGCACTCTCCTCCTCGTACAGAGGCAAACAAGACCCATTCCTGTGGCTGTTTCATCAGACAGTTAGGCTGTACTGAACCTACATCTGCTGATAAGAAAGCAACTTCTAGATAAATCATACAGGCATGTCTCTGAAGCCTAGAAATAAGAACTTCTGGCTCCAATAACAAAAGCCTGACCTAAGGAAGGCCGCCTACATCTCTGGTAGCAATCAATCCATCGCCCTTCCTCTGGTATTGCCAACTGGGGGGCACATCGGGAGGGCTCACAGAGCTGGTAGATTTGGCGAGGATGGCAGCAGGCCACAGGAGCAGCAAAAAAGGAGCTGCCCCGCTGGCTGCACGGGGGTTGCTCATGCCCCAGCAGGCACCTGGGGGACGATGAGACCATCTGTTCTTGAGTCACGGTGGCTCCGCTCTTGGCTGATGCCCTGTCCTGGTTTCAGCTGGGATAGAGTTAACTGTCTTCCTAGTAGCTGGTACAGTGCTATGTTTTGAGTTCAGTATGTGAAGAATGTTGATAACACTGATGTTTTCAGTTGTTGCTCAGTAGTGTTTAGACTAGAGTCAAGGATTTTTCAGCTTCTCATGCCCAGCCAGGGCACCTAACCCAAACTGGCCAACAGTGTATTCCATACCATGTGACGTCCCATCTAGTTTAGGAACTGGGAAGTGGGGGGCCAGGGATTCGCCGCTTGGGGACTGGCTGGGTGTCGGTCGGCGGGTGGTGAGCAATTGCCCTGCATATCATTTGTACATTCCAATCCTTTTATTACTGTTGTCATTTTATTAGTGTTATCATTATCATTATTAGTTTCTTCTTTTCTGTTCTATTAAACCGTTCTTATCTCAACCCACGAGTTTTACTTCTTTTCCCGATTTTCTCCCCCATCCCACTGGATGGGGGGGAGTGAGTGAGCGGCTGCGTGGTGCTTAGTTGCTGGCTGGGGTTAAACCACGACATGCCCTCAATGGCTGAAGAGAGGTAGCGAGACATCCGAGAGAAGGTTGAGCGAGGTGCACCATGGCCCCAGAGTGGGGAACACAGGGTTATAACAACAGGGCTGAGATATGCAGGAGACCCGGCCGTGCAGGGGAAGGTGTGCTTTATCTGTGTGTTCTTCATGCCCGCTATATTCTTTAAATATCTTTATAGTCTCCTGCAGCAGAATAGGAATAGTGGCCGTGCCTGAGGTGACCAGCATGTGACTGTGGTGCTTCTTGTGGCATCTAACTGCCCTCCTGTCCTCACAGAAAATCATTAATTAAATTTAAATGCCTCTTGCTGAATTTCCCGCATGAGTCTTTTTATGTCTTAAGCTGGTCATTAGGATTTTTGTGGCTTGTGTGTAGTTATACTGCATGAGTTCTTTAATAAACCATACCGAGGGCGAAAGTGTCTGTATGAGAGGGGTGAGAGAGAGGCTGAGTGGCTTCTCTGTGGGTGTCTGAAGTGAATGACAAGTGAGGGAGAAAAGAAAGGATTAAGAAGTAATTAAAGGATAGAGAGAACGCTAAATAAGGAAGAAAGGAAAAAACTGCAAGGAACATTGTTGATGGGTTTTACATTTGAATTTGGGTAGTCATTTTTTTTTACACACTCAGGGAAGAAGACGTTGGAGGGAGCCTTGGTTGCTGTTACGCTTTCATATTATAATCTAAGTGCTGCCTTGATTATACACCATTCTGATTGCTGCGGCCTAGTGATTAGAGCATAAAACTTGGAGGCAAAAAATATGCTTCTTTTCATGACTGTAAAGGACTTGCTGGGTGGTTTTGAATGAGTTATTTCACTTCACTGTGCCTCATTTTCCTGATCTGCAAAACAGGGATATTAATGCCTATTTTTGCGAAGGCAGTCTGAGAAACTTAAATGGAAACTTCTGTATAAATGTCAAGTATCATTATTATTGTTCTTAAACTAATCCATTGTAGTCAACTGCTTTTATAGTTTTTATGAAAGCAAATACAATGGGAGCTACATAATTGGCTGCCTAACAATGTTGTTTCAATTAGAAGAAGACAAAAAGTGTCTGAAAAATGCAACAGTGGGTTGCCATTTTCATCAACTGCAAAAAAAAAATTCTGCTAGAACTGAACCATGACATACCATATCAGGTAATAAAGTTACTCTGAAGTATATGTAACACAGAGATCAGAAGTAACAGGCTCAGATAATTTTTTGTTACATGTTTGGTTCACTATTTATCTGGCACAGTTGAAGGTTTTCAGTTATTGTTGAGCAAGTAACAGTAAGGGTAAAAATGTGAAAAATGTATGTGTTTACTTCTTTGCCAGCATCTGAGAGACTAAGTTTCCCCAGGCTGTGACTTTAAAATCCTAATTTTCAGTTGAATAGTTTGCAATGTCTGGCTTATACACCTTTGGAAACAGGCAATACAGGAAACACTGATACTCCCTCTCCTTAGTGAGGTGAATATGAACCGTCTTTTAATAGGATGCTGTTAGAATAAGGTAATGGAACTAAACTGGGAAAATGTGAGTGCCATTACTCTTCACTTTTGCCTAAATCCTGTTTATCTGAAAGGTAATCCTGCCTTTGCCAATTCACCCTGAGGGTGGATAGTCCCAGTTATTCAGCCCAGGGCCACATGCAGAAGGCTTTAGCAGTAAGGGTATGCTGTATGGAAGGATGCTCTTAATCCAGGATGCTGATTATACTAGTAAAATTGAATGTTTGCCAGTCTAGTTTATTCTTCTCCTGAATTTGTCCTGGTAGGAACAGGATTTTGCTGGTATAACGGTGCTTATTTTGTGATGGAGGAAGGGGAATGTTTGGGGATTTTTAAGACAGAGCGATATTGGTCATAGGTAATGTGTCTTCATACATCTCAGTGATTTGGCAAAAATCTGTTATGTAGTCTTGGCCTTAACATGACCCCAGAGTGAGTAACTTGTGACCTGTCTGTCCTCATCAGCGTCAGTACTGCTGCCTTCTAGAACAGCCCAATTAAGATAATTTTATGGTTGCTGTAGGAGGACAGTATCTGTAAGGCAGGCTGAGTGGAGCAGTCCTGGCTGTTCGTTTTCCATCCCCAGAGACTGCATTGCAACAACTGCCTCTTCCAAGTGCTTTCCTCTACCAAGCAGCACAAGCCCATTTCTGCAGGCTCATTTTCAGCCAGCTCCTCTGTACCTGTGAGCTCGTTCCCTCTAAAACCAAGGCTGTTCAGGGACAGGTATTACACTACATGCTGAGTGAGATGGGTAGAGCGATGTGACATCTGGATGCTGATGGCTCTATAAGATTATGGACATAGTGCTGGTATTAAAATAATTACACCATAGCACGAAAAGACTCGGATCTCTTTCCCGAGAAGCCAGGTCCATTCAGAAGAAAAACTTCAATGACATTAAAGAGCCAGTTTGGAATGTTTTTTTTTTTTGTTTAGTTGTTTTTTAATTATTATTATTTTGAGGGTATTTGTGAGGACTGATCTTTTTTGCTTGTTCATAGTCCTACTGTTGTTTGTACCAGGTGTAGCAAGTGCATTAAGACTTTGGAAAAGGGCAAACAATTCCTTTTTTCCTCAGACAAATTTAACATGTTGGATCTTTAGATTTTATCTTTTTATCCTGATGGTGGAAAAAAAAGCACACTAAATATGTGACATTAATACAATTTTTTTACTTAAAAAGAATAATCTAATGTTGGATTTGCATTCTCTCTGTTAATGGTTAGCATAAAACATTGTACTTGGGAGTATTGGACCGCTTATCCTCTCAGTGAAGCTAAGAGGAATTTTTTTATATGTGACAACACTGTGAAGCAAGACTATTTTTCAGGATAAGTACAATAAAATTCTAGCAGGTAATGCTCTTCATCAGAAAACATTAGTAAGAAAAATGCTGGAAAACATTCCCCTAGTTACACTATTAAGTAGGTTTTATTTTCTTTCTCAGTAAGAATAGTGAGTGTAATACACACAAAACATGCCTTGCTCTACCATTATTCTGAATTGCTAGTTGCAAATGAGATTTTTCTGTCTACTCTTGCACTCCTTAATATGTCTTTTTCAGGTCTAAGAAATGGATGAATGGATTTGATTTTTAAACAAATGGTCTCATTGCAGTTCCACATCAGCAAAAAGCAGAGTCTTCTGAGAAGATGAGATGAAAATGCAGGCAGTCGAACAAAGGAGCCACAGAAAACTCTTCATCTTGAAGAGCTCAACAGACACATATTAAAATGAGTTGACTGAACCTCAGTCCCATGTCTCGTGGGTTCATCTTTAGAGAAATGATGTCCACTATGTTTTGTCTGACTGTAGCACTGGATGCTTGCTTGTGCTTCTCTACTGGCCACTTGGGATAAAAGGCCAAATTTTGCTTTGCTACGACAAAGGCCAGTTGGACAGCTTTCTCCCAGTTCTCCCAAACCAGATTAAAGTGAATACAGACCAAGACGATGGGTAAACTATGATGTAAAGTTTATATACAAGAATATAACATTTATCTGGAGTATTTACAAGGTTAATTAAAGCAATATTTTACAACTCTTTCAGGTTAACCACTGGGTATATTACAGTTAGGCTACAGATGGTTTAATTTGCAAAATAATAAAAAAATCCATTGCATTCAGATCAACCAGCTGCAAAACTTGTTAATTTTTTTTCTGAGAGATAAGGGCTCAGACTTGTGGAAAATAAAATGTGAGAATGGTTAATATACTCTTACTGATGCCTATGTATCACATGCAAGAGTCGTACATGACCTTTATAGTGTTAATATAGATGGCAAGCCATTTCACCTCGGTGAAAGAGTCGTACCCACTGTGACAGGCCAGTTGCACATGTGGCTTTCTCTGCATCTCCTACTTTTGCACAACAAACATGCATGTATACAGAGAAGCAGCAATATAAATGAACCAGCATTACCAAAAATGAAGAGGGAAAAACCTCAGACCAAAGTCACATTTGCAACCATTAAAAAAAAAAAAAAGCTTTAAGCAAGATACTTTAATACTTCCCAAAAATAGTCATGATTTTTTTTTTTATTACATTTTAACCTATGTACAAAAATGGAGGGCTCCCTCCCCTCCCGGAGAGCGGTCACCATGTCTCATGCCCGTGGCATCTCGAGGCTCAGAGGGGCCGAAGCAAGAAGGTGCGGGAGGCCCGGAGAGCTCGGGACAGAGGCGGCTGCTGGAGGCGGCCAGAGCTGAAGCCACTAACACTGCAGTTTGCGGATGCTGCGGGAGAACCGCTTGAAAGCCCGCTGCCCTTTCTGCCACCGCTTCAGCGAGGTGATCACCAGTTCCCCAGCTTGCTTTTGCCCCATCACCAAGTAGGGGACGTTGATGTCATTCATCTCATCGCAGGTACACTGGAGGCCACCTTTGAGCCAGAGCACAATCTTCCTCAGATCCCTTTCCGTCAGCCCATTCAGCTTGTAGATGGTTTTACTCTTTGTTTCGGGGGTGATCTTGGTATCCCCATTGATGTAGGCAATCTCCTTCACTTTTATCTTCAAGGCTAATAGAGCAAGGGGAGGAGGCAGTGGAGAGAGGGAGAGAGATTGAGAGGTTTTTTCCCATTAGTGCACATAAAGAGGACCTGGGGAGGGAGGTGCTCTATTGCTAATTAAACTGTCAGGGCTGACAGAAGAGGCAGCAGGTGGCTCCATTTCTAAAGCCACAAAGGGCATGCAAGTCATTTCAGTTTGAATCAACCTTAGGGCTGAGCGTTTTTTGGTTTCTTTTTGCCTCTTCCCCCTCCCCCTCTTTTTCCTTCCTTTCTAAATTAATTTTTTTCTCCCACTTTTCTCCTGTTTGCAAACAGAGAGAGGGTGGGTTTGCTACATTAAGCAGAGCTCTGTTTTTTGCTGGGAGAGGACAGTCTTCCTGAAACTAGAGTTTGAAGGGGAGGTGGGGAAGCGAGTACCTAGACCTAATCTGAAACCTGATCTCTGCTGCGGCTGAAAACTTCTAAACTTAATTTATTAGGCTGGAGAGGATTTGGGGCAAACCTGTAAGGAAATGATATTTCACATGCATTGTTTTTTTGAAAGAATAGATCCCATGGAGGGCAAATTGGTCCAACAGCTGCATTCGATTTGGTAAAATAACTAGGAGGGGGATACAGGGCTCTGTAAGAATCTGTGGGGCATGTTTAGCTTTAGGAGGATTTATCTGAGTGCAATTTGCCAGGCCAAAGCTATTGGTTGTTTTAGCAATTATGTCCCGCAGTCACCGTTTCAGGTTTTGGGTGGTGGGGTTTTTGTTGTTGGGTTTTTTTTGTGGTTTTTTTTTTTAAAGAAAGACTTTTGAATTATTGTAGATATTTATACTACAAATCTGTTTCCAGGTATAAACATTGGCCTATTATAAAAGGATTCCCCTCCTTATTCCCTTTTTCTCTTGAAATGCTAATGTGTGGATAATGTGCCGTTCAGTTCTCTGTGTCGAAGGGGCTTTCTTGTCCTCTTCTAACCCCAGATCTTCCCATTAAGTTTATATCCCCAATTGTCTGTGCATTACCTTCTCTGTCAAATGATATATAGAGCTTCATTCTTAATCTGCAGAGAGAGTCTTTCTTACGATATGTGAGATTGGTCATGCAGCTCTCTCTCATACGTCCAAATGAAGCTTTGCTCTACTTCTCCCCAGGCAATAGACTGGATGAAAGTTATTTGTTTGTTTTTTTTTTCCATTTTACTTTCTATTTGGCTTGCCAGCAACATCCACATAAAAGAGTGCTACTTCGAAACAGCAAACAGAAAAGGACTATAAAAAGAGCTACTTTTCATTCCCAGGTGGAATTTTGTGTTTTGTGACCCAATGGTCAGACGGGTCCATCTGCAGATAAGACAAAGCCCTGTCTTTATTCAGGCGCATCTCTCACTGACTCCACTGGGAATTTTACCTGACCCTGAACCCTCACGTTTCAGCCAAGGGGGGCTCTGCTTCCACTTACCAAAGTCATTTTTGCAGAGGTTTTCCACGATGTCATTATCGTCTTCATTTTTGTTTTTGCAGGCATCGCAGACCTTGGGTGCTGGAAATGCAAGGGACAGTCCCCATCAGGCTCGGGGAGAAAGGAACAGCAGGTGGCGTTGGGAACCCTTCGGAAACCGCCGGGTTTTCCAGCCCTCGAACGCTCCATCCCAGACCCTGCGCCTTCTCCCCCCCCCAGCCCCGGCGCTGCCCGAGCACTTCGACACGCCTTACCTTGCTGCAGACCCGCTGGAGGGGGGCACGGTGTGCTTTTAAGGTCACACTTCAACCAAAAGCGGTTGTTTGGGTTTTTGTTTGTTTGTTTTTTACGGGGGAAAGCATAAAGGGGGGCACACGACACAAACCACCCGAGCCCCGCGCTTCAGCGATGATCTTTGCAGGAGGAGGTTGTCCCCCTGCGAGCCGCACGGCTCGAGTCCGGGGTCCCGGACCTTTCCTTTGGGGACGGAGACCGGCAAAGGCCGCGGGGTGCGGGCCGGTGCCAGCACCGCGCCGGTGCCTGCAGTTTCCCCGGTCCCCTCGGCAAAGCCTCCCTGAGCCTGACCTGCGACCCGTCCCGTCCCGTCCCGGAGCACCGGGGGGTGCTGTAACGGGAGGGAGGGGGCTTCGCTGGCCGGCAGAAAGCTGGGGAGGGACCCCTCTGCCGGGGCGGCTCCTCGGGGGGCAGCTGCCGCCGGCCCGGGGGCTGCCCGGCGGCTCCCTCTTACCTTCCCGGGTGACGGGGAGGATGTGGTCGCTGCTGGCCAGCGGGATGCAGAGGTCGTTGTCCTTGGGGAAGCGGCTGCAGTCCAGCATGTCGGGCCAGGGGAAGCCGAAGGCGGACATCACCGGGGCGCAGCTCTCCTTCACCTCCTCGCAGAGCGAGTGGCAGGGGGGGGG